TGATTCACCGGACGATTTTCCACCTCCGCCGGCTGCTGCGGCGGCTCTCCGCTGGGCTTTGAGCTCTTGCTCGCGTCGTTCTTCCTCTCGAAGCTTCTGGATTTTCTTCTGCTCGATATCGGATCGCTTGAAGAACTTCTTACCACCAGCATCCTCGGCCAGACTCTGCCGTTTCTTTAGAATCTCTTGCCTGAGAAGATCCATCAGAAATCGCCGTCGTAGAATCGGATTCTATCTCTGTTGGTCGCGACTACAAGGAATGATTATTGATAAATAAGAATTTAATAATTGCATTATATGACGTTATAATGAGCTTGGGCTTTAAATCAAATGGGCTTTTATATTGCTCGATATCTAATTGGCCCATTTATTATGGTTTATAAAATGGAATTGGTATTTTAGAATATTATGGTTTCGCTGGTTGTTGCTGACAATGCTGAGTGATCCATATTTGTGCAAAACCTGTATAACTAGAGATGTAGGCGATATTACAAAGACGTGTATTTTAACTTCACATGAAATCTTGTGTTTCTCTTTGCGCAACATGTATTCATATGCCTGTGTCTAATCTTCTATATGGTTCCAGTTATGGGTAAAGTTGAAGGGCAAAGTGAATTCTGGCAGAAAGTCATCAATCTTTTAACTGACTGAAGATACTTGCGAGTGGTTTCGTCATTCATGATGTGAGCAACAGTGTTGGTGCAAATCTTCTCTCGAGCTGCACGTTCGTGGATACCAACCATAATCACACCAATGGGCCATGGTGCGTTCCCTATAGCTAGTTTGATGTAGTGGTCTGTTGCAGCATCGTAGTCTCCCTTTATGCAGTGATTAACCATCATCATTAAAGCTTGACGAATGTCGGCTGATAAACCCTGCAAGCCATAACAGAAACATTAAATTCAGTAGAATTAAATGTTAAAGAGTATATAAACCCTAGTAAGATAGAAAGAGAGAAACTTGATTTGCACCCAACATTCCAGCCTATTTCTCTTCATATGCCTCAATGGCAAATTCAAAGTGCACGTAAGAGTTTACTAATGAAACAGATTGCTACTTTGATATTCTACGTTATAAATGTCTATGTAGCATTCGAGTTGCTCTTGTCACCATACCCGAAATCAAAGGAACCAAACTAATGGAACCGAGTAGTTGTTGTGCATCTGTCTTCCTACCCAAACTAAGTTTAATCATAGAGTTGAGATAAATCTATTTCCAGTTGCATAAGCATTGATAATCTCCATAACAATCTTATACCAAGCAAGCAAAAGCAAGAATTTCTACAAAAGGAATTGGTTTTTTTTTACCTTCTTCCTGCATAAGTTGAAGAGAGGAGTTAGATCCCTAGCACACTGCTTAAAAGTGGCTACCGTCTGTTTCCTTTTCGCTGTTCTGATCTCAGTGTTCTCCATAGCATCAATCTCTTGCTTCCATTCAATCAATAGCTTCTTATAGAACACAAGGATCTTGTCCTCATCGCATAGATCTTCAAAATTAGATTTCAAACGTTTAAATCTTGGTCAGCATCAACATCACTCGATTCACCACCACTTAGCTCATCACTTATAGTTTCTCCTCTATCACCTTCGTCTCTCCCTCTTTCATCTCTACTCTTCCTCTTCTTATCTCCCATGATTCCACTCTTTTCTCGCTTCTTCAGCTCAGAGATATCACGCAAGTAATCGTTCGTTTGCCCATCAGTCATGTCGCTATCGACCTCGAAAAAAATCCTTCATTCAACACGTACTTTAGTCGATCATGCCGCGATTGATCATCTTCTCCAAAGAGAGTCATCGGCTGTTTAAGGAATCTCAATCGGCGAATCACTTCCTGCCTTGGGAGAATTAGGGTTTCGATGTTCTTCTCGTAGGTTAGGGATTTCGAATCAGCTATTGCAGCCGCGTCAGATGAATTACCGGAGGATTTTTCACCTCCGCCGGCTCTCCGTTGGGCTTTGAGCTCTAGCTCGCGTCGTTCTTCCTCTCGAAGCTTCTGGATTTTCTTCTGCTCGATATCGGATCGCTTGAAGAACTTCTTACCACCAGCATCCTCGGCCAGACTCTGCCGTTTCTTCAGAATCTCTTGCCTGAGAAGATCCATCAGAAATCGCCGTCGATGAATCGGATTCTATCTGTGTTGGTCGCGACGGCACATACGAATTTAATAATTTGTATATATGACGTGATAATGGCTTGGGCTTAAATTTAAATGGGCTTTTATCAGATTTATAATTGGCCCATTTATATAGCTTCGTTGTTAATTGTCTTTCTCGTTCTTCTTTTTTACAGATGCACACATCTGACGAAGCAGCTCAAGGGATTTTTGCGAGAGGAAGATGACGACGATTCGTAGATTCAGCTGCAACGATCTTCTCCGGTTCACTTCCGTGAATCTAGACCACCTCACTGAAACAGTTCGTAATCTCTGATTCTGTAGGATTATTGTTTTTTTTTTTTTTGTTATGGCGATTTTGTTGATTTTTGTTCAAAATTTCTTTCATGAAACAGTTTAATATGTCCTTCTACATGACCTACTTGGCGAGATGGCCTGATTATTTTCATGTTGCTGAAGGTCCTGGGAATCGTGTCATGGGTTATAGTAAGGATCGTTTCACTTTTTCTCTTGTCTCTGTGAATTTTGTCTTCGATTGTTATATGAATGCGAATTTGTGGAGATTTGCGTTTTTTGTTGATAGGTTTTAAGTTAGATGGTGAACTGTTTGTGAGAATCCACTATTGGTATTTTGGTTATTAGATGGAGCTAGCTGAAATGTGGTAAAACCAGGAAGAGTGACTGTGTTTTGGCTAAATTTCTTGTTGTTCTTTATCTATTGTTCGCATTCGGCTAAATTTGGAAAGGGGGTTCTTGAATATGCTTCTATTAGACCTAGCCTCTGTAGTTAGTGGTTAGGAATCTAGATGTGGTACAAGAGGCATGTGAAGGATGGTTTGAGATTGGTTGTTCTAAATGTCGATAGAATGAGCTATGACCTATGAGTTATATTAAGGGTCAACTTGTTCTGTTTGTAGTATAGTTATGCCACATTTATTGGTTCGAGATGTGAATTGTTTTAGGCTTCATCTGTTTTTTCTTCTTCTTGAAGTACAAAATATGCTGCAATATTGACCGGGATCTTTGCGGTGTTCTGTTCTTCTGGTGCCCTGTTACTGGACTTGATCAAACCGTTTGGCTTTGTTTGGAATGGAGGAGAGATTTCACAAATTTGTTTTATGGTAAAGTTTAGAAAGGAACCTTGGAAGCCTAGTGAAACTATTGAAATGATTGAGAGCAAAACTAGACCTTTGGATTTTACTTTGGTATTTTTGAAATATTATGGTTGATATTTTTGAGAATCCATGTAAGTAGCTTGGCTCGTTATTGCTGAATGATCCCTATTTGTACAAAACCTATAAACTAGAGATGTAGGCATCACATGAAATCTTATGTTTCTCTTTGCGCAGCTTGTATTCGTTTGAAATGTTTGTGTCTAATCTTCTGTTTGGTTTCAGTTATGGGTAAAGTTGAAGGGCAAGGTGAATCCTGGCATGGTCATGTGACAGCCGTCACTGTCTCTCCAGAATATCGCAGGCAGCAACTCGCAAAGAAACTGATGAACCTTCTTGAAGATATCAGTGATAAGATGTAAGCCCTAACAGAAACAAGCAGCATTATCCTAGACCATGGTCTTCTTAATCACCATTTTGTTCCTGGTTATTGTTTGCAGTGATAAGGCCTACTTTGTGGATCTTTTCGTGAGAGCTTCTAACACACCAGCCATCAAGATGTATGAAAAGGTAAAATATTAGGATTAGGAAATGATGAGACGCGTAAAAATCTCGTAATCATGATGACATTGTGAAGAAAGAAGTTCATAACATTCCAAATGAGACGCATACATTTTGCATATGTCCGTTTCTTATTGTCAAAACGTCTTCTTCATTATCGCTTTTGCAGCTTGGCTACATAATCTATAGGCGGGTTCTACGCTATTATTCAGGAGAGGAGGACGGGTTAGGTGAGGCGTTTGATTCCATCTATCTATAATCGCCTTTACATTTTTCGTTTCACCTTCTTTAGATATAACATGAAAATGGTTTGATCTCAATAATCAGATATGAGGAAGGCATTATCAAGAGATGTAGAGAAAAAGTCTGTGATCCCTCTCAAGAGACCCATCACTCCTGATGAATTAGAGTATGATTAAGAACTCTAAACTTGGTAACTTCGTAGCAGCTAAAGACTATGATGTTACTGTTTGTTGTCATATTTTCTATTCACATTATAAACATGTTTTTTTCTTCTTAAAAGCATTATAAACATGTTTATGTTCAGTGGTTTCGTACCTGAATATTATTTTTTCCACACAAATTTATAAATTTAATCAGATTTTTAGTTTAATTAAAACAAACAAATTATATGTTTTGGTTTTGGAAAAGAAAAAAAAAATGGCGCCGTCTTATAGCTTCGGATGGGCCAAGCGGATATTTAAGAGATAAGAAAACTAATCAGAAACACAGAAGAAATCTCTCACTCTCTCTCTCCATGAGAACTCTAATCTCTCACCGGCAATGTGTGACGTCACCATTTGTCATCTCCGCCACATCTCCGCCGTTTCCTCGCTGGTGCTTTCGTTTATCTTCGTCATCGTCCTTTTCTCCTCCACGTCACAGGCGTATTTCTTCTCTCTCGATTAGAAACGTTTCGCATGAATCCGCCGATCAGACTTCTCCCTCCAGGCCGCGAACTGTTTATCCTGGTGGTTACAAGCGTCCCGAACTCGCCGTTCCCGGTCTACTTCTCCGGCTAGACGCGGATGAGGTTATGAGCGGGAATCGTGAGGAGACTCTTGATTTGGTCGACCGTGCGTTAGCTAAATCGGTCCAAATCGTCGTACTCGATGGCGGAGTTACCGCCGGTAAGCTATACGAGGCGGCTTGTTTGCTGAAATCACTTGTCAAGGGTCGTGCTTACCTCTTGATAGCTGAACGTGTTGATATCGCCACCGCCGTTGGTGCCAGTGGTGTTGCTCTCTCCGACGAAGGTTAAATTAATTTTTGCTAATTCATTCAATTTGTAGCTTTCTGGATGCAATTTTATAGTAGGTGTTGTTCATTACTATGTTCATGGTGAGTTCGTATTGCTGGATGAGATGTCTCAAAATGCTATGTACAGGTCTTCCGGCTATAGTAGCAAGAAACACATTGATGGGTTCCAATCCCGACTCGGTAGTTCTTCCTTTGGTAGCTAGGATTGTGAAGGATGTTGATTCTGCTCTGAGTGCCTCTAGCTCCGAGGGTGCTGATTTCCTTATACTTGTATCTGGTGAAGATAAGCAAGTGGGATTATTGGCAGATTCTTTGTTGAAGAGTGTGAAAATACCGATTTTTGTGACTTGCAGAAGCAAAGGAGAAGGTAGAGAAGAATTGCAGTTACTGAAATCAGGCGCCTCTGGTTTTGTGATTTCGATGAAAGATCTGCGCTCTTCTAGGGATGTAGCTCTTCGCAAGAATCTTGATGGAGCTTATGATGTGAATCATGAAACACCGAATGAGAATGAAAGTATTCTTAACGAAAAATCATCGGTTGAGGCTAGTGACCTGCAGGGGAAAAAGAATTCTGCTGGCTTCATAAAGTTAGAGGACAAACAGAAACAAATAATAGAAATGGAGAAATCAGTGTTAAGGGAGACGATTGAAATTATCCAGAAGGCGGCTCCACTGGTGATTATTTAAAACATTTGGTAGTTGAAGTCATTTTTTCTGAAATGGTTCTAAACTAGATTTTTTTGCTGTTATAATATGGTTTAATTTGTTTCCTGGACTGTTTTTCAATAACAGATGGAGGAAGTATCCCTTCTGGTTGATGCAGTGTCCCGGATTGATGAGCCGTTTTTAATGGTTATAGTGGTAATTCTGCACTCAACTCCATCAAATTGTGGTTCCAGGAATATGCATTGGTATTAGCTCTATTTCATGAAGAACATTATTAGTTTTAATTGTTGTTGATAAAACCATTTTTATTTACATTCGCCAGCACTAGATAGCTTGTGATAGATCTTTGCTAAATGATGAGCATGCTCCTAGTCACTTCCTCTATCTTTTTTCAAAAAGGATTTTGCTGTCAGTGATTTATTATAATCCTCTCTGA